GAGAGGGGGATCAAGGTCATCATCGTTCAAGAAACGTTTCGTGAGTAATAATACAAGGCCTGAGCAGTCATTCAAAATGGCCGCCGAAGAAGGCCATACGAACTGAAATGCGAAGTAAAATTGTGGTTACCAGACGAATATAACTATAAGAAACTACACTATCAAATAAAAAGAAGAGGCCTACTTTTTCCAGCAGGAAGACTGTACATAAATTTAAGTTGTTTTTCAGGGGGGGAAAGCATACACTTTCTATTAATAGTGTTATCACTAACAACGCACAGTAAATGAAATCTTACCTGTTCTAATCTCAACATACTTTTCTCAAAATATTTTGGAAGTCCTATGGACACATTTCATTAACAGAAACTAAGTATACTATCTCTTTCATATCTGAAGTTATGGTTGGCATCATGAATGTACGAGCTCTTGTTGCCAGCAATTGGTTATTAAATTTTGTTACCACAATATTATCTTCCTTAAAATCCATTACGGACTTTAAAATATATCTCCTATATTATGGGAGTCACTAATTTATCACTATAACTTAATTTATGCATTGTTTCTTTCTTTAAAAAATTGTTATTACTTTTTCCATTTGAGGTTCTAAACCACATGAACACATTCTCCTAATCACGCTAGGATGACGAAATAGTGTTAACTCTAAATGCTTAAAATATTTATAAGGATATGGCTATGTGGTAAATAGCATGCACGATATGATAAACCATGAAATGTACTGATATGCACTTCTTTTCTTCCTAAGGAATTTTATTTGTTCCAGTATAAATTAATAGGTTTGTCAAATTGTGAATTTGTAGTATCGATTTGACGTAAGTGGTCTGAAATTAGAGGAAATCCATCATGAGGATTGTTATTACTACTGCTTGTATTAAAACATAACTATAACCTAACTTTTTCTAAAACATCACTCATTTCATTCGTATTACATACAATATCTGATATTGTAAAGCCTCCAAGTTTTTATTCTTTTTTACAATAATACACTCTAAGTTTCAATTCCTTATCCGTCACAACTGAATTGATAATATTAAGGAAAGAATTGCAATCAAAATGTTGAAAAATAATAGCCTTCCTTATTAATAATCTACCAATAATCGTCCAAAATAAGAAATTTCGGATTGCTTCTTAGTTAATCAAAAGTCCTGAAAGATATTTCATTTAATCTTTCAATGTTTTCTTTTGCACATTATTCAATAGCAGTAAGCAGATACTAGTTTTCTAAAAGCAATATCTTTTCTTGAGAACTTCGTGTGTAGGACGTGATTGGCGATTCAAGCAAGCAGGAATATTAGGTAACAAAGAAGACCTATCTCCACGAGAGAGTCTTGTATGTTTAAAGGAAGACTGATTTTTAGTTCATTATCACAATAGAACAATGAATTCTTCTCAATTTCCCACGTACGCAAATGCACTTCACAATGCTGAAAGTAAACACTTAACTTAGCAACTTACACTTTTCACTTTCTATCATAATTCCCTCACCTGAAGACACAGCCCTTATTCACCATGATTCTCACTATTATCAACAACAGACCACATTTATATAACCGCACGTGCTACTCAACGTACCATATGAGTAAATCTCTGTAAATTACAAATGACTCTTATGACTAGAGACAGGAAAATATGTAGTATTGAACGTCAAAATATGTATCTAAATATGTAATGAAAACTGTAAGAATATGTAATAAATATGTGAAATCGAATATAATATGTAATATTATTTATTCTAATTAAAAAACATTTAATTAGTACAAAAATAAATTTATAAAATATCCTAAATAAATTAAAAATTAATAAAAAAATGTAAAAACCATTTGGGTCGGGAGCAAGTTGTTGCACACTTTGCACAATATAACTTTCCTGTCAAGCTTCATCCATTGCTATCCTGGCGGATAGTTTAGCAGCCAGACTAGATGCAGTAGAAGCCATCTTAGAAACTGGCGATACGTATGACCAGTAATCACTACATTCTCATAGAAGTGATACACATTGGCGATCACCAATTTTTCTCGGAAATTTTGGTTACAGGTCACAAATTGCTGTGTCAATAATACTTTTCAGACCTAGACTTCATCAATAATGTGGGATAATTATGATTATTTTTGAAAATACTTCTTTTCATAAAAAGTATGTAATAAAATTTATTCAATAAAAAATGTATAAATAGCAAAATATGTAAAATATATAATGTAGTACTAATTATGAAAAAAATGTAACGAAAATTTGGGTATTATGTTAGGAGAGCGATGATTCGCCAAGATAGCAATTTGAGATCGGTAAGTAGTAAGGCAAAAAAAATTGATGTTATCGTGTTGGATTCATTTAAAGAAACACTCAAAATTTGAAGAAAAAAAATCCGTTTCAAATTCTACGAGATCTTAGTGCGGACAGATCGACCAAAAAATATCCATGTTGCAGAAAATCCTGTTAATATTTACACGGTCGGTTTTCCAAGGTCAGTCGGACAGTGCGGGATAAACACGTTAAAAAACATTTTTCGGTATCAGAGATCCCCTTCCCCTATTTATTTCATGAACATTTTTAATTGTTTTTATATCATTATAAAATTTTCTTTATTCTACGTATCCAAGAAAGAAGAAATGAGGCCCTGTATTTTTAAAAATTATTGAAAATATCATAAGAATATTATAAACAGTACCCCCAAAATTGATAGTCAGGTGTCAAAATCAGGAACTCAATTGATCGGGAAATATTCATTTTAGAAAAAATCAGGTGAACAGTACATCCATTAGTGGTTTTCACAAATGGACGTACTGGCAGACAAAACTAATTCTTATCTGAATTCTCAAAATTGATTTTACTACCAAAATTTGGTTTGCGAATTTTGTCCCGTAAGCTGTACTTTTCTTTTCTATAGTCGAGGAATGTAAACAATATATTAACAAGATCATTTTTTGCTAAAACTAGTAGTTTTAGCGTGATTTTCGATTGAATTTCCAAAATAAAATATTCCTCAAAAACCGCTCCACTTTTTTTTAAAAATTTTCTTCACATATGTAGTGGGGAACGGTAATAAATATGGAGCTAGTCTCATTAGGCTTTTCTTTTTTTCGAAAGTTGCCAAAAACATTTCAATACTACAAAACAGTAGATAGAAGATTTTTGCCCCAGACAAAGTCTGTTGTACAAAATAAGCTCTTTAAGAAAGGTCTGCACACTTTTTGAAATAACGATAAGTTTTTGCGCGATTTCAGTTTGGAATTAATGAAATATATACAGCTTTTACACCAACTACGGGCCAACCACGAGAAAAATTGAATGACTTATATGAAAAATAAATAATTTAAATTTAATTATAATTTCCTACTGAAAATGCCAATATTATTTCTATTTTTCCTTCCTCACTCTTTTACTTTTTACTCAATGCGTATTCTCAATGCATTGATGTAGTTTTTTAAGCAATCCGCAAAATTATAAGGTCGCAGAACGGCGACCGAAACGTCGGCACCTTCGCCATGGACGCGGCGTCAGCCGGACAGCCTAGTAAATACGCAAGTTTTTTATTATATTGGGAGCTCAGAGACCACAAAGGACGCTTAAGAGAATGATGCAGGTAACATGTTCATTGAAATGCGTGATTTACGAAAATTTAAAAGAAAATTGAAAAGTGTTTGGCGTCATCTACACTTGGTTCTACTACAAATATGAAAATACAATTTTTTGCGCATCGAATATTTTCATAAAATCGTCATCAAAAAAGGTCATGTGGAATTTTTTGAAAATATTAGTATTTTTGTGTAATTTCGTGACAAAATGAAATGCCAACTGAGAATTTACTTCGCATCGTGAACGATTCCAGACAGTTGGATGCTTCGTTAGAATTTGTATATTATTTAATATTTATTTGTTATTTTCTTACTTTCGAACTTTTGGTATATATTTACACATCAATTAACACCTTACTCACAAACATATAAAATATCGCCTTTTAGTGTTTACGTAGATTCGCATACACACTGTTAATAGAGCAATTTCAGAAGTAGATGTGAACATTGAACATTTATTGAAGACATCATAAAACATACAGGGGCCCGCGTGAGGTGCGGCCACACGAGAAAAACAGTGTGTGCGAGTGGGAGGCTACCGGTCCAGGTTACACTTCGAGGTGCCTACTGATGGGCACCGTGTTGACTCTCAACGTGGTCTCTATGTAGCGCGGTCACTCCAAGCTTGTGAGGCGCTATGACGGTAGGTTGCGATTGCCTCTGCTTGGCTCAAGTCGCCGGATTTAAAGCGCCGCCAGCCAATGGGAAAGCCGGACGGCGACCTGCTTACCTAGACAGCTTGGTCACCTGGACGCAGTTTGACAATGCTGCGCCCTACTGACCGCTGCCCGAATTGTTGTCGCTTGTATTTTGAATGACCGGCGCGTACAAACTGTACGTAACAGTCTGCCATGTTTTCAACGATTGCTCTTTCAATTTACGTGCTACGGTTCCAATTGCGCATTTTCATTCATAGTCCCCTCTCCTAGAATGAGTCTCATTTCCACCCTTTCTAGCTTGCTGTATATGCACTCGAGTGGCTTGCGCGGGGCTCCCGAGGTCAGTGAAAGTTCAAAATGCTGTGCAGGCCAGTAGTAATTAATAGGAGGCCATTCTTTAGTTCTAATATCACTTACGTTACGAACTTGTAATTATGAACCTTTTATTTGCTGTTTAAGTTTTTGTTGTTAATAATGAAACACGTTTTTTAGAACACTTGTGTTCTTATAACACGTGTTGCGAAACTGATCTAAATTTCGTGAAGATAGACATTATTTATGCGGACATCAGTTACGTGGATAAACAATATTAGAGCATGTCTTGATCTTCGGGTTAAAATATTAGACCCTGCTAAAACCAGTGTTCTCACATGAATAATCACGTTGCGATTAAAACTGATAATGATCTGAAAGACTCTTGCATTCGTCCATTGAATTTTCTGCAATCTCAAGTCGTAGCTGAATATGATAGATGCATGAGTCCGCCTACTTGTCCCTCAAACTCTGTCTTTGCCTTTACTATGGTTTTAAACGTGTGAAAAGGTACGCAATATTTTAAATCCCCTGGGTCTGTCCGTTTTCAAAGTCTTTGAAGTATTCGACTTCTGTATATGATTAACGAACTCCCCGGCGTACGTTTTGGTAGACTGTCAGACAATCCCCATTGCACGGCGAGTTTCGATAGTGTTCGGCACTTAATCTAGAGAGAGATTAATCCGAATAGAGGCCTGCGTTCGGGCATCTGAAATTTCAGGCTTTGACCACGTTTTTTGGCCAGAACTCCGAAATAGGAACTCTGATAACAAATAATTAACAAATTTCTATACAAATATTTAAAAATAATATCTTCTTGTTTTGCAGGGCCCGCAAAGAGGATCTGACGGTTGTTCTAGGGTTGCACGACCGCATAGCCATGAACGACGGTACCGAGAAGATCCTTACTGTCGATCAAATGATCGTCCACGAAGCGTTCGGCAGCGACTACTTGCACGACACCGAAGACATCGCCCTCATACGCCTAAAAATCCCCGTGCGCTTCAGCAACTTCATCTCGCCCGTTTGCCTGGCTGAACCCAGTGTGTGTCGCCCTCGCTACAGAAACTCCTGCATTTTTCTCATTCATGTAGTGTTAATTGTTTTAGTAATGTATAATAAGAGATCATAATAGAGGTTTTCACGAAACCTACTTTTCTCTGGGAACCAGTGACGTATATAGGGCATGTAGATCAGGTTGTGATGTGTTTCTGGCTTCTACATTTAACTTCTACATTTGTTAAGATCAAAACCAATTGTCGGGGAATAAAATATGATCCAAGGAAAAAAGTAATAAACGAAGTTTTAAAACAAAAATCCTTGATAATGTAGCAAACTTAGTCTAGCTCGTGACAAATCCGTAATTTTTTGTTTAAACTAGTGGTGCCAAAACAGTACATACTTTCTTGCATTATTTTTCACTTTTATCAGTTTTGAAAATTCAGAGAATGCAAATAAACTGAGATCTGCGCCTTTTTGTTAATCGTCCCTTGTTGTATCCGCGGAAAAAGTTTGAAGAAATAATTTTGAGCGGTTGTTAAGAAATTTTATTTTTATAAATTGGGTTAACGTCAAGGCAAAAACTACTCATTTTTATAAAAACTTTGTGCAAGACCTTTGTAAAGAGCTGATTTTTACAACAGGTTTTGTTTAACGCGAAAATAGTTCTCTTCAGTTTTGTATTTTGAAGAGGTAACGTTTTCAATTTTCGAAAATACAGAATGTTCGCCGGAAACGAGACCAGCATAATTTCTTTGTCGTCAAAAAGAAAATGAAAATTCCAAAAACAATTTAAAGAAAAAATGTAGCCTTACTTTCATTGTTTAAAAATTCATATATTTCGCACAAAATTACGCGAAAACCACGTATATTTTCGAAAAATGTTCAAGGGATTAATTCGAGATTTGTCTTCAAGAAACATTAAATTCAGGAAAATATGGATGGAGAAATATCAATTTTGGAGGACATCCGCTGGACGGTTTACGCGCTAGCGTTGGCCACAGACAGACGGACAGACGGTTTGCAGACAGTCTATTTTTCGATATTAAGGATACACAAAACATGGATTCTGACTTCACATGTTAGATTACGTAATTTATTACATATATGAAGAATTTATTTATTTATCCTCTTTCTCATTACCAAGGATGGGCAATACGAGTTTTTTTGCCGAAAATTTGCCATTTTCCGGTGCACGATTACCATACTCTCTCTTCTTACGAAATTACTGCGAGGTAGTAAAAAAATATGCAGACGACGAAAATCAAATCAGAAAAGTCGTATTTCTTAGCTTCGATATATATTGTGTTTGCAGCATAAAAATTGTAACTATGAAGATAACATAGAATGAATTGAATGGATAAATAAATTCATTTACGTTTTTGACTTGGAATGTAACACAAGAATTTTCCGACCAAATTCAACACGTGTTTCATTAAACGTAAAACTACTCATCCGCATGATGGGTAGGCAGTTATTATATATTCTTCTAAATTAAAATTCATTTCATAATTTTTCAGCATAAGTAAATATTTATAATAGGCTAACTTCATTTAAGTAACTTTTTTCTTTTTTCGTTCATAGGGGCGCAAATTATAAAGATACGGGCATCAATTCTCTATTCGCCCTGGACGACAGTTCAACTACATTCGACTCCCTCGCCGCGGGGTTTACCAGAATCACTACGGTGTCGGTGATGACCTTTGGAGACAAGATTAATAACTAGAGGTCGACACAATTGTGAAGGATTCAGATTAATGGTGCTGACAACGCCTGCCTAAGCACGTTCAATATTGCAAACTAAAGTATAGAAATGTCGGGAGGAGAAGAACCTTCGAAAGGCCAAGTTAATTCGAATGGTTTCAACTTGCTTCGCATCGTTTTTACTTGAAACCTATTGTTTCTAACACAAAGACTGACAGGTTTTTACACATAATTCAAAGATAGTAGTGCATTTGTATAAGCATATGTTTGTGCATGTATATCCCCTTGTGAGAGTTCTTGCTCAAATTTTACTTTTATATCAAATATCTTCAAATACTGTACAAAGCGAAAAAAATCTGTTAGAACGAGTTTTAACAACGCTCTCACTATAATACAAGTATTAAATTTTCAGAACTATAATTCACCACATTTATTCTAAACACTCAGTTTCTAGTTAAATATTATTTAAAACGATAAGTTTGGCTGCTTTTAGTTTATCGCATGTAGTAGAGATATACAGCGATATTATACTGGGAGATATCGGAGATAAGATATACTCAGTACAGAAAATATAATGTACTGCTGCCCAAAAATTGATATGAACACTTCAATGGAAATACACGTTTTAATGTCTTCTGAAACAGATTTTTTTCAAGGCGTAGGACATTTTCCAAAATGAATATTCCCCGGTCGATCTAGCACGACTGAAAGATCTATTTTAACTTTCCCATATACGTACTATATACGGAGTATTATACGTAGTATAGGGAAAGTTATATAATGCTTCGAAAAACTGATTTGAGGATTTGAACGAAAATACACGATTTGAAGTCCCCTGATACTGAAAAAGTAGATTAAAAAAAAAAAAAACGTCCGTCCGTCCGTCTACTGAAAACTACTAGCGTCTAAACCCTACGTAGAGTATTTTTTAAATTGAAGAAACCCGTGTCGATCTGCTTCGAGTCCAATCTTGGAGATTTTGAAAAAAAATTTTTAAAATTTAGTGGGGCTTTACATGAAGTCCCCCGAACATACAACATTTTCTCTAAAACAGCACCATTTTTTTCTTTAAATGTCTTGCAAGAATAGAGAAAAACACCCTTCTAAAGGTGACATAGGGATGGCAAATTTTACGTTTTCATCTGAATTATCGAAAATTTCAAAATATCAAAATTTTCAGGTGTTTTTTACAACTGAAAACTAAAAATAAAGATTTTTCCTTTACATAAAATTTGTTCATATTCAGTTCTTTCATTTATATCAACGAATGTTTATTCAAAATTTTAGTAGTTGCCAAGCAATATTGCGAGCAATATGTGCAATTTTAAAAATTACAAAAACACGATTTTTTTTTAAAAAACATCTCCACATTTTTGCTTTGACCTTTTGGTAGGGATAGTGCTAAATGTACTCAGTAGGCGTGATATTGCTCTATTCTTCAGTTTTTTTTCAAAAATTACAAAAATGTCATTTTTTGACTTGTCTCTCATGTCATTAATATTTACACTAGAGGCAATTTGTTCACATAATTATATTTATGAGATGATGTGTGATTTATATAATATCAAATAATGTTTCTCGATAACTCAACCGTTTTCTGTGAAAACTATCTCTAAATTCCGCTTCAGAAATACTCAAAGGCCATTTTCTGTAATATTGCTTCACACGTTTTCTTCAAACGTTTCGAAGGGATAGTACTAATTGCACTCTTTAATAGGACGAAAAATTCATTTCGGAGTGTTTGTTTTTTCAAAAGTTACAAAAATGTAATTTCTTTGAATGATTTCTAACGCTTTTATTATGCATATTTCCAGCAATTTGTAAATACTATTATATTTGTGAGTTAATGGGTTTCAAAATTCTCTGAATGAAATTTTTTGAAAACTCAAAAATATTCTGAGAAAAATAGCTACAAATTTCGAATTTATAGTAACGTTTAAAGTTTTTTCTAAAACGACTCCGAACTTTTCAAAGAAAATTTCTATTTAGGTAAAGGTTTTACTGTTCTTTAATATTCCTAAAATAATATTTCCCTTCTACCATTAGTAAACCGAAAAAATTTAGAATATTTCAAAAAAATGTGCTTTTGGCAGAGATAGCTGGCAAGAGTATGTAGGAAGTCTGAGTAGCTAGACGAGACCAAAGGAAATTAAAAACGAATACGGGAAAGTCTGTGCCATTCTCTAGCACCACTAGTTAAAATTGTTTTTTTAAATAGTGCTTAAAGTGAGACGACACATAAATGTTATGTTTAAACTGTGAAAAAAATACATTCTTCGGTTTGAATCCGTTACTACTGGCCTTAAAGTAAAATTGTGATTTGTATGCTTAATTTAAAATAAAATAAATGTCAATGCGGCTGTCCAAAAATAGAGCCATCTAAAGCTAGCAGCGCCCAAAAACCAATTTCAACTAAACTATATCCATATTTTGAGGCTAATTTAATGTTCTATTTGCGATTGTCAGGCTCTTTTGGATTTCCCAAAATTGTGGGCGCTGGTAGCTTTAGACTAAAGCTAACAGCGTTCATCTATATTAAAACTAAAAATCAATTAAAAATTATGAAACTTCACCCAATATTTAAGTCTAATTTGAGGATCTAGGGAAAAATCCCGCATTTTTATTCCAAAAATCAGGCTGTACAATGAGAAACAATTAACATTACAAATCTCAACGGAGCTTCAAGTTAGCCCTAAAATTTGGGTGTGGTTTCAGGATTTTTAAATGATATTTAGTTGGATTTTAGATGGACATTGCTAGCTTTAGTCTAAAGCTAACAACGTCCACTATTTTGGGAAATCTAAAAGAGAAGAAGGAAAGAACCCAAAATTCTGGAACACAGCATTCAATTAGCGTCAAATTACTCTAAAAGTTTGAATGTAGTTTGTTTGAAATTGGTTTTGGAGTTCTGCTAGATTTAGATGGCTCAAAAATAGTGTTCTACACACGTGGTAAAAGTGATTTTATTTTGCTGAAGAATTGCAAACGAAGTCTCTAGGCCACTTTTACCACTCGTATCATAAATAGGAACTTTAGGACACTTCACCTACCCTAGATGTAACCGCTTTACTAGTAACAGTAAAAACTAATTACAAATCATATGTCTCAAAACTAGTTCTATAAATCAATATTAAAATAAATTTATGCACTCATTAAAACAAATTCAATATTAATCATTACACTCACCATTAACCACTACGTTCAATACGTCAAAATAAAAAATGGCTTTTTCAGGAGGCCAAGATGTTTATGCGAACGAAATAGCCTATGTGACTGGCTGGGGAAGGACTCTTCAAGGTGGCAACCCTTCCCGCTACCTGAGGAAAGCGAATGTGAAAGTGCTTTCGATGGCTGCTTGCAGAAACACAACTATTGGAGAACACATCTTAGACTCCATGATTTGCGCTTACGAATATGAAACGGATGCTTGTCAAGTAAGTTCAGCTACATGTAGCAACATGCAAATTTCGACTGAGTCGTTTCTGAATTCCAAACATGTCAATCATAAATATTAAAAAGAAATATAATAAAAAATAATAAAGATTGAAAATAATACATGTAACATATTTTACTGTGACCGTATACATAAATTCGCATTTTAAATAATGTGCAAAACAAATATATTTCATTCGCCATTTGTTAAAAGGGCTTATATATAATTTTTTAAAATTATTTTCTAGTCATAAAGGCTAGACACAAATAACTATTTGCTTACATGATGCTTATAACAGGAAACAAATAACACAAAAATTTTAAACATATTTTCTTTCCTATACGGCATTATACATTCTTATGTAAGGGAAAAAACAACCTTTTCTCAACTCTGAAACAACTGCAGATATCTTAGTTTTTTGTCTATGGCTCAGAAATTGAAAAAATCTGAAAAAATAATCATGATAGGTGTTTTGATGACAGGTTATGCGTTTTTTCGGTGTAAAACAGTTCTTGTGAATCTGGGTCCAACTTGGTCCCCTTCGCTTCCCCACATATCTGCCAGTTATACACAGCCCAGTAACATTAATGTGACCCCCGTCAAAATCCTGAATAACCCCTTTTGCAGTGCTGATTGCTGTGAGACATGCAGGCAGAGAGTCAATAAGGTTCCGGAAGATTCCTCCAGTGCCGTGGCCAGCTGCGCTAGGTTCCTCAGTTGCGGATCCACGGCACGAACAGCACGATCGAGATGGTCCCACACATTCTCGACTGGGTTTAAATCGTAAATGTAACTTCCCTATGCGCACGGTTTGTTAAACTCCCCTTTTGCTTGTAGAAGTAGAAGTAGAGGTAAGGGCGAGTTATTATTTTGTTAGCAATGCAAAAAATTCATATCTGCAATTCGTTTACTGTTCCAAATAAGTTTTCTCTAAATCGGGAACGAAAATATCTAGTTTTTGAAACGTCGCTAATCTCGTGCTTTTTAAAATTTTATATTTATTTATTTATTTATCTTTAAATTTTACTCATCTTTAAACTATTTATAGTTAAAATGATGGGAAGGGATTCTGGAACCCAAAAAAACGTGCGCAGAGTATCTCCTCTCCCAAACGTCACATACAGTTTTTACTGTTTTTTGACTAAAGAAATAAATCTAAATCGGGGGAGTTGGTGGCCGGGGGAGCAGTGTTAACTCCTGATACTCTTCGAATCATGCACGTTCACTGCGAGTGGTGTGACAAATTGTATTGTCTTGCTGGTAGATGCAGCCTTGCTGAAGAAAAACGATCTGCGTGTAGGACATGGTGCGCCAGACACGTTTTATATAACCTCCATGGATAATGCTGCCACCCGCTGTCAGCGACGGGTGATTGCATTTACGTCGAACATGGGCGGTGGTCACATAATGTGACTGGACTGTACTTCACGGGTGCGCCAATTGGTTTCTCTTGAACTGCCAAAAATTATCATCATTCCTTAGCGTATTATACACTTGCGCAAAGGATTATCAAGCTTTAAAAACGTGCTAATTTTTAACTACATTTTAAGGTCAAAACATTATTGCATGCTATAAAAATATATAAAAATGTATAATAAACACCAAAATAAATCCACAGAATTGTTGCAGTAACTTTCAAAGTGTATTTGATGTCAAAGTGATTTAAAGATGGGAATAGGGTAACAATGGTTTTCATTTTTGAACTACCGAAAAAATTTGAAAAAATTACAATTTTTGTTTTGAGAGAAAGTTTTCATTTTGTTTTGAGTCAATTGCAGGGATCTAAGAACCATGTAAAAATATTTTTTTCTAATTTTTTCAAAAATATTTTGCATTTGAATTTGGCGTCGAGAATCTATCATTTTTTTCTATTAGTCCATACTATTTCTTATTTTTCATGTTTTATAAGAAGATAAAATAGAGTTAAGTTGACGAAAAACAATTAAAAAGACACGTCTTTGGCTCTAGAGGGATGTGGGTGGTGAGATGGGGGCTAAGAAACCTTTCAAAAATCTTATTTTTATGACTAAATTACAGTGCAACACTGCTAATTGGTGTTAGGAAAGTTTTTACCATGTTATCGGGGAGTACCCTTTAAATTCGGTTTTCACCACTATTTATACCGTTTATGTCAGAAGGTTATGGTGTCTTTACACACGTGATATATGTCTTAGGTTTCTATCCATTTGCATGAACCCTTACATGAAATGGTCTAGAAAAGTAGATATTTTGTATAAAAATTCAAAAACTGTTATTCCTAATTAATTAAGCACAAGAATACTCCTCTTCATTCTCATATTTACTTCAAAATAGAATGATAGTGATTGATTTACAGTATTTTAACAATTATTAGACAAGATTCTTAAGTTGTAAACAGTTAGGAACCAAAACAATTTCTTTGAAGAAAATATCTACGTGAATTTTTTAAATTTTTCTATGAGCTTCAAATAGATATATAGTTTATAGAGGACTAAGTATCCTTTCAAAAATCTAATGTTTATGCTATAGTCATAGTTTAACACTATAATTTAATTTTAGGGAACTTTTTACCGACTTCTCCGGGTGTAACCTTTATTCGATAGTTTTCGTGTTTTAGCAGACGTGCAAACAGATTCTAACAGAAACTTCGATTTATAAGTTAGTGTAGATAAGCACAGTTCTTTATCACTAGATCCCTTGATAGTTCTTCAAAAGCTGTAACTCAATTAAAACACTTTATGTATGTATACTGTTCAGAATATGTTGTGAGAACCATTTATTCATATCATTATCATACAATCGTTCAATTTTCTCTCTAACACCAAGACAAATTGTTCAGATATCACCTAGATCTGTTATAATCTAACTGAATTTTTTTTTTCTAAAAGGGAAAAATTGCAGGACCTTTACAATACTTATGATGAAATTCAGAAGAAGGAATATAGTGACATTTTAAAGAATACGAGTACCTCAGATGACAATTTTGTTCTGTATCATATACTGACAAACTAGCTTTATGAAACGTTTGTACGCAAACAAAAGTTAAGTAATAGTAATATAAATTTCCTGAAAACAAGTTGAGCAGAAAAAAACTGTAAAGTTTAAACACATTTCCCGAGCATTTTCTCCGACTCACTTAACTTAATAGCTTATTTTTCTTCTCCAGGGAGACAGCGGCGGCCCTCTTGTATTCGAGCCTCGCCCAGGCAAAGTGGAACAGATAGGTAAGAATGCTTATCAATAGCGTCACCTGCTAAGGAAACTAGCAATGTCTAATAATCAACTGGTAAGGTAATTACTAAGGTAATAAATAGAGTGCATGTATACTCTCGAGAGATAGCGGTAATCTTCCCCCGCTGGATGGCGTTATCTGGGAAAGACATAACCGTCGTCTAGCGGGGTTTTCCCAACCTGATATCTCCTAACTGCGGAGTACCGCCTCAGCCGGGACAAACTCTAAGCTCTCGACTAATCTCCCAATATGTGTGGTAGTGTAGTTAATGTGAGTGTATGGAAGGAGATAGGACCAGGAAGAGAAGGGTGAGGGCGCGCGCGGTCCATGGCCCGTTTGTTAGGGTTCTGCTCCGGCATTCGCCCAGTGTTGATTGAAGAAAAAACACAGAAAACTCCCAAACGGAGCAATTGGGTGCTAAAATTCTCCATCCAGATATCGGCTGAATTCGACCTAGCTACGAAAGTAGTGTCGAAATTCCTGCCACTCCGGACTCGAAACATAGGTCCTTCCGGTCAAATGGCACTGCATTAACATCAATTGATGCCCTGTGCCACCGAAGGTAGTTGACTGCTTGGGTCGACTATACACCACGAATGCCAAATACAAACTGAAAGTGTAAAATGATTTGCTTGACATTACCTAGAACAGTAACAGACGACTACAGTAGGACCGTATGAATAATTGCTATCAATTAAATCAATATATTGAAGTTTATTAATTTCTTCAAGAAAAAAGGAATAATACATGATCCAAGGATCAGTGGATACAGGCGTTATCACTTAAAAGATAGAGAGTACTTGGAGACTAGGAAATCATCCTAACTAGATGCAATGGTGGGTTATTATTTATGTGAATTTATGTAGCGAAGGAGAAACAAAGGCAAGGATTTATTAAATGAAATATTAGATTATATTGCTGAATTTTGGCCTCCATCATCATCGAAACAGTAATTAGTGAGATTTTAAATGTATTTTGAGAGAAGTGTATTAAAGACGTAATATTGTGGGTTGCAGAGGTTTGGGGTCGGTAGCTCCCGATAGAGCAATACTAAATTATAAATATACTAATAGTATTACTATTAAATTGCAGTAATAATAAGTACGTTTTGTGAAAAACGAATGTTTTAATGTACCGCCTAAATATTGTTTGACCTGTATTTCACGTTCATCTGTTCCTAGTGAACAACATTTTTCGTGTCAAAGGAACGGACACCGTACACGTTCGGCAGAAAGTGAACTGATATACGTACTATTACGGAAAAAATCCAATATTTTTATAAAGCAATCTATTTACCAATAACTGTTCTATAAATTATTTATTGCCAGCTTTAGCTTTTATTGACAATATTAACTTTTGTGTAATTTTAAATTATGAGAAGCCGAATATGCGTGTCTGCTGAACAGACGTAAATATTGTTACTAGTAATAAGTTAGATATTTATTTCTTAATGCTATTTTCTAATTTTACATCTTCAATCTTTCCATGTGCACTAATTTAAAAAATTCGCAAAATTCTGATTTACATCAATTGAATTTTTTAGTGGTAGCTGCAGCGTTGCAAGCTTACTCATCGTTACCAATCACCATCCGTTAGCAGTTACCATCACAGAAGCTGCGATGCAAGATTACTCATCGTTACCAATAATTCGAAAGAGTATGAGTTGATGTAGCACTAGCTTTTGAAATGCATTCTGATGCTACCAAACTATACATATCACGATTTCATGGATCATTCGTCTTTTAAGTTCTGAATTAGTCTTATCACGAAAATGTAAGTGCCTTGACCACAGAGATTTTCTCAAGTCACTTTGGTATGACCTTCGTTGTCATTCAAAACCTGACTGTCTAACCACAGGGCAACGTTAAAGTGATATGAGCCGAAACATTAAAGATAAGGTTGCAATTATTGTTCAGAGTCTACAATACCATATAACGCTGGAAAAGCTTATGGAGCGTCTGTAATATAACTCTCCATAAATATTTGACTACTGAACTCCTCAGAAAGCTTATCTAAAAGCTTCCAATTATTTCTTTTTAAGGGTCCATTAAAGAAATAGTAATTACAATTTAAGGGTTTCGTGCCTCGTACTTTCACAGAAACATGAATCTGAAGTAACTATTCTGTCCATTTGTTCGTTAAAGATTTCCACGCTAACTGTACTAGGTAAAGAAACTTTATTCAATTTGCAATAGTGTATACAGTGCAACTTTCCTTTCGGACACTTTAATGAATACCTCTGTACCCTAACACCCATTTATTGATTGTCATGAACTATTTTACAGGGAGGTGACAAAAAAAATTGAATTGAATTAATGCCTTATTTTACGTGGCGAGACTCAGGCCATTAGGCCTGCTCTTCCGTCTGACCACGCAAATTTCGCTACGCTCCTTTCACCAACTAGCGGAGAAAGGGAGGCATATCTTGGGCGAGAAACAGGCGATTTTAATTTAGCTTCATTTAGGCTTGAGGATCATGCAAGTAAATCTACGAACATGGGACAACCGGCTTTACTTCCCCGCCTTTACTTCCGAAGGAAGGCGTATGAAGGATTTTTTCGCCCTTAAAAATCCATGGCTTCGATCGGGTTTGAACCCGCCAACTTGGGTACAACAATCCAGTACGCTAACCGTTACACCATCGCCGCCGCAGTAATGGGATACTTCCTAATATAGTGTCTAATCTCCTACTTGACGAAGGGCAACAACTCGACAACTCGGACACAAAAAGTCTTTGGACGTCCCCTGCAGAAATATTTAGCCATGCTGCCTCTGTAGCCGTCCATAATTGCGAAAGCATTGTCGGTGCAGGATTTGTTGCACGAACTGACCTCTCAATTATGTCCTATATAATGGAATTCATGTCGGACGATCTGAGTAGACAAATCATTTGCTGGAATTGTTCAGAATGCTCTTCAAACCAATCAGGAATAATGGTCACAAGGTGCATTTTCATCCATAAACATATCATGGTTGTTTGGGAACATGAAGTCCATAAATGGGTACAAATAATCTCCAAGTAGCAGAACATAACCATTTCCAGTCAATAATATGTTTAGATGGACAAGAGTTCTCAGTTCATTCGATGTAAAAACAGCCCATATGGAAGCACCACCAGCTTGCACAGTGCCTTGTTGAGGACTTGGGGCCATGGCTTCCTTCGACTAAGCCATGGGTTTTCAGTCATCCAGGATCCAATCGATATAGTCACGAATTCAGAAAATGCGCTGCAGGCTATGTCATGCGGTTAGCAAAAGCTCTAGAGTTCTGCTGCCATATCCCATTAAAGCCAAATTTCAACGCCATGTCCTATTGTATTCCTTTGTCGAAGGTCCTACATCGATAACTGCGGTTATTTCACAGTGTTGCTTGACTGTGATCACTATCAACTCTTTGCAAACGCCACTGCTCTCGATTACTAAGTGAAGGCTGTCGGCCACTGCGTTGCCAATGGTGAGACGTTATGTCTGAAATGAGATATTCTCGGCACAGTCTTGTCATTCTTGATCTCGGAATATTGAATTCCCTAACGATTTCCGAACGAAATGTCCCACGCGTCTAACTCCAATAAAGGACTCTTCCGCGTTCGAAGTCTATTAATTACCAACGTACAGTCGTAGTCACGTCAGAAACCTTTTCACATGGATCACTTGAGAACAAGTGAAAGCTCCGCCATTGCACTGCTCTAGTATACCTTTTGTACGGGATACTACTGCCCTCCGTTCATTCGCATATTGCTGACCCAGGACTTGTCACCTCAGTGTATAATACTCCTGTCTACCAGACATTCTGTTTATGAAAAAGTAATCACCATTATTTTATTTAGATTAGCATTCAATTTGTTCACCCTGTGAAGGTCAGCAGCTCACAATCAGGTCCCTACCACGGATTCGCGTACGGGAGGGACTCTAGTACGGCACTACATATTAATAAGGTTATTTTGATAAACTCTAGTACGGCACTCCATATTAATAAAAGTATTTAATAAACTCTAGTACGGCACTCCATATTAATAAAGGTATTTGATGAACTCTAGTACGGCACTCCATATTAATAAAGGTATTTTGATAAACACTAGTACGGCACTCCATATTAATAAAGGTATTTGGTAAACTCTAGTACGGCACTCCATATTAATAAAGTTATTTTGATAAACTCTAGTACGGCACTCCATATTAATAAAGGTATTTGATAAACCCTAGTACGGCACTTCATATTAATAAGTTCCGCCAACTGGAGAATATTCGTTTGAAAGCAATCAGATCTCTATCTTTGATTAAAAGTTTGCTCTATGGCGAGTTTCCATATTCATATCGCGGTATGGGCCCGAGGTAAGACCAAAACAGGCACGATTGGTTTGAGAATATGGTAACTGATCAGAATGGCTTGGACAGGATTCAAGAATGTAACTGATCAAAGTTTTACGGGTGGGAGGGTAAAAAAACATTCACATTTCAAGTATTTTGTGGACAGCTTTGAAAAATTTAGATTGTAACTATTGGACTCTGAAATGCTTCGCTATTGCAATGCACATGCTAATGATATCATGATTGTTAATCACGTTCTACGCTACGCTAAGCAAACATTTTAATAGATGACTTTCTCGCGAGTATGGGTTTGTTTTATGTTCAGGTTTGGACATGCATGTCCAAGCATGGTTGTCAAGTATCTTTTTGTTAAAATGTTCTCCCTCAAGTTTAGGCATGTTTTTGCTATGACACTGTATTGGTGAAGTTTGATTAACTATGATTATTTATTATGAAAGAAAAATTAACACAAATAAAAAAACACCAATTTTCATATTTTGACTTCTTTTTTTATTTTTGTGCTATTTTTTCTTTCTGAACAAATATATTCATTTTTTTTTGTTCATAATAAACAATTTACATGTTTCTAGAGTGTTTATATGCTTCTGAAATGCAAAGTTTTGCAAAGAATGTATTTTTTCACACCATCATTTGAGTGCTTATTGCGGCTCAGCCATTCGGAATAGCCAAGGAGTTTATTAGACAAAATATGCTTAAAATTATCTAAAGAGGTTATTTTCGAACTTTTGACGTTTCCTCCCTGGACACTGCCTGTTGCCGGCACAGGTAAGGAAAATGTGGATAAATCCTGTTGCTACATGTAGTAAATTACTAACACGAATCCATGTTTTGAGGGAGCTTTATATCGAATAATCGATTGACGGCAAAACGTCTGATTGTCCGTCTGTGTTCAACGCTTCCGTCTACTTCAGCCTATTTTCTACATTGAGATCCCGCAATCAATCTGGAGAACTCTAGGTTTTGGGAGTTTCAAACGGATATTTTGACTTTGAGGGAACTATACACGAAGCCTCAAAAAGTTTTCAATTTTTTTTAAGTCTCCAAACATTTTTATTAAACTTTATTCTCGGATATCGTAAAGTACGCTTAAGACAATGGTACAGGTCTCACGTTCGTTGAAATAACTGCAAAAGTGCAATTTTTAAGGAGTCTTGCTACAACTACAATATTGAAGATAGTGATGTTTTTCCTTAATGAAATTGTTCTTTAAAGATAGATCTTGAAATACGATCATGTTTAATTTTTCGAAAATATGAGTGGTTTTTTAATCATATTCTGCAAAGTATAGGTAGTTACATTTTTTTAAAACATTTTTAAAACAACACTCAAACTCATGTTTACAAATTTTCTCGGGTTATGAATTGAGAAACGGTATAAATATTGTGCTTGTCCCATTTTCGGAAAGTTCTCCGTTCATTCAAAAATTGCAAAAAGTTAACTTGAAGTTAATTTTAAAAGAACAAAATTGAAGAAAGCATTATTTTGGCTGAAAACAAAGTCTGTTCCAAAAAATCAGCTCTTTAAAAAGTTAATGTATATTTTTTTGAAAAAGTGAGTTAATTTTGGTAATTTGTGTCTGAATTTTAAGTAATTAAAAGTATTTCACCAAAGAACCGCGCAAAATTGTTTCTTTAATTTTTTACGCGAAAAAAGGGGCGCATAGAAGAATAGGGCGGGTCTCAGTTTCGTAGAAATCTCTCAATTTCGAAAATTGCAAATTTAGAAATAATGCGATAAAATGTGCGTTGTAGATTCACTACTTTGTACATAGCGGTTAAGATAGTGATTTGAGTCCATATTCAGTTGTTTTACTCAATAAGATAAGATTCGCTTCATAATTTCGTTTGTCAGTTTGAATGCGTCTGCTTCCAGCCTAAGATATCCTAATGTGGTTTTAGAGAGTTGGAGAGAGCGTTTAATGAAAATTGTTTGCATTTTCTCTATATCGTCTGCATAATTCAATTACCAAATTCCTTCTCCATACATAACAAGACATATTACATGGTATAGAAGAGCGTGTTTTTGTTCGCCCAATTTGACATGTTTCCCGTCATTATAGCTGGCCAGTCGCCCCCAGCGCTGTTTTTCCTTTAGTTATTGCTTATCACGTCTAAGTTTTAAGATCCTGAGATTAAAAACGGAATACCTAGGAAGGTGGAACTACCAACCAGGTTGACTCCGATGTACCTTGTTGCTCTCTTTTTTTCGNNNNGGGGGGGGGGGGGGGCTTCCAGACTTCCTACATTTCATTATTTCAGTCTTCATCTTGTTTACTACTAAAGATTTGTTACGACAATACTGTGAAAGAGTGCTAAGTTTGTTGTTTGTTGCGCTTTGCGCAGTGGCAATATCGAAACCAGAGACGTTTATACGTCATTAATAAATTTTCAAATTAAAAAGGAAAGAAAAAATATCCGTTTGAAAATAATAATTTATTTTTCAATTAATAGATTCCAAAAATAAATGTTTTCAATACTTTTCAATAATAACGATCGGAGAGAACAAAATTATGATATGAAAATGTATGCTACGGAACAATACATTAATACGTGTAAAGACAATAAAAAAAGTAGTAATAATTATTATTATTCATAATTTATGAATAAATTACATATATGTGAAATGTGCAATGTATTAAATGATTTTGAATGTAGGAAGGAGGGGAAAAATATTTTTATCATACTATTTTTAATACACAGTCTCATAAAATTTGAAATAAAGGCAGTGTAAAACTGTATTTTAATTCACTAAGAATAACGAAGAGGTCAAGATTAAAGGTGCATGTAGTGTCGTAGTTATTTACGACATAAGTAACGTAAGACATTTTATTACAATACGAATATCGTATAAAGGTTTAGCCACTTTGTAAGATTTCCAATGAACTATAACTTCCGTTTGTGAAATCGCCTGAAAAGTAGTAAAAGTGGCATTTTATTTTTCGATTAGGAACAGTTGCGGCAAGAGGTCGACAGGTCGAGAGGCGCATTCCTATAAGCAATATACAATCATTCCTACTACGTATGTCCGACACTATCTTTTAGACAGCCTTATTGACTTTCGTTTTATTTTAAATTAAATATACACATCACTTAATTGGGTAGTATCTTATATTAAGATCGGTAGTACCTGAATTAAAAGGTCAGACAAAATAATTTTGTTCTCTTTGGTTGTCAAATTCGCTATAACTTGATAATAGGATTAGTCGATTACTTGATAAGGTTAGTATGGGTATGGTCTTTAACGATTTTGTCTGTTCGTTTTTGTCTCATTTATTCAATAGTTTCTTCAGTAAATTCCAATAAATTTAAGTTATGTTCACGGCTGTAATTGACACACGTATGAAGGGTTCTCAATTGCAGTTTACAGGTAACAGATTGATAACGAAATCTACCGCTTCATTTTTCGCCTAAAATTACACTTTAAAAAAATTATAAGAATATTTTTAAAATATTAATTATTTTAATACATTCGAACGTATTTTTCCAAAGGAGCCACCTTAGTTTCCTGTTTTCTATTAATCGCGTTCCATTTATTGGTTTCTATTCGTGTTACATTGATTTTCTCTCTTTATTGCTTATGCTACTTCTCGATTGTATTATAATAGTTTCTGTCACGCAATTATTACAAATCTCGAATAAAGCAACTCATTAGCACAGCGTTTGCTAACTGGCGGAGAAATGACGTCGGAGCTCCGTTCCCCTTCGTTGGCGCCTTCTCGGAGGACCGGTGCGTGGAAAGGGGGGAAGGAGGGGGGAGACGGCGGTCGCCGATAACGAAAACCAGTGGGAGCGTAGGCTTCCGCGGCCGGAGTGAGTATTTACTTGGCTGTCCGGGTGACGCCGCGTCAAGGTCGCAGAATGGCGACCGAAACGTCGGCACCTTCGCCATGGACGCGGCGTCACCCGGACAGCCTAGTAAATACAGTGGGCCTTTGCCCATGTTTCAGGGAACAAGAGTGAGAGACAATATACAGCCATTAATTTTCTTTCGGTTTAGGAAGAAAGTTTTCCTTTTGTAGAAACCGTAACAATGGCGGAGTGCTTAGTGTATTCAAAAGAACTGCAGTATCTTAAAAGAGTTCAATCGACAAAGATATTACGCACGTTTACAACTCAGAGAAACTCGCAAGATGAAAATAATTTCAGAGAATTTACAGATATCCTGCAACCATAAAATGAGAATTTTGCAGATAGAAGATTACGAGAAAGGAATTGAAAATTACAAGCATTCACAACAATCTCAAACAAAACTGTACTATATAAATAATCAAGCCTGAAGTCCAAATTCTCCCACGTGAACTCTCTCGGGTATGTATTTGTTAACATTAACTACACATGAACACAACATTAAAACAGTTTTCGGGCTTAAATACTTTATATATGCTTCTCTATGTATGTCGACACGCTGAATCCGAATCTGAAGCCAGATTTACGCAATCATTCCCAGGTATTCGTAAATTGCGAAAAAACACCATGAAATGGTAAATTTCATTGTTTTTTTGCAATTAAAAAACTAGAAGGTGGTGTGGCAATTCTGACTTCGGTTTCAGCGCTTTGACATACATAAAGTAACAAGTGTCAATTCTTGGGTCCGACAACAATCCCGAAAACAAACAAAAACTACAATATCACGATTTTTTGCAAATAAAAAACCTGAAGAGTGGTGACTCAATTCTAGCTTCAGATTCGAATTCAGCGCCGAAATGTGTGACAAAAATCTTTGGTTCTTCTTTATTTTACTTATTTACAATTTTTTTTCATTTTGTATGCCTATGTTTCTGGTTTGGAACGAATTAAAATTGTTATATTATATATCATTATATACAATATTGTATTAGAATGTTAAAATTGTTTTCTCCAAAAATGTGCATCAGAAGAATGGAAGTGAAATGGTTACGATAAATAGAGTCGGATATTGCTTTGTGTCATGAAATAATATGTTATATTTTTAATTTTTCATATTTTTATTGGATCATAAACATTTAAATAACAATAACCGTTTAAAAACGTAATTATCGAGAGAAACTCTCCCCCACTTCTGTATCATTTTGGAACACTACGCCCAACGCCTCGTCCGGCACTAGCTTTGCTCCGAAGCTCGGTTCCGAGCAGGACAGCAGATTTTTATGACGTCACAGAGCCTTGAGTTGGCAAGCCCTGCACTAGCATTTCTTGCAAGGTCTTTAGGTTTTGTCTGGTGTGCTTGTGTGCAGGCGTGGTGTCTTGGGGCATCGGCTGCGCGAGGCCCGGGATGCCTGGCGTGTACACCTTGGTGTCCTACTACCTGGACTGGATCAGAGCACACACCACCGACGCAATCTACTGTGGCTACAGGTAAACCTTAACTGCACTTGCAACTGCAACTTCATGAAGAACTGAGAAATGCTAGACCCTTTGAGTACTATTACTTATAATAATTATTATAGTAACGAAATACTTATAGCACAGTAATTCTTATACTGGACCTAAGCCACAGCCAATGGCTCATATGATAGCGCTAACGGCCAACCGATGAACTGTTGTGAGCTCACAGCGCTTCCATCGGATTTCTTGGGCTAAAGGCTAGTTTTATAGTAAAGTAATCTAAATGCTTATGATATTCAATAGAAATATTTATTGTAGAAACTCTACGAATTAAACAAATAAATGATTTCCTCACATTAATTTCATTTTGGGTACGTGAAAGATTAGAGTCTAAGATAATACAAGAACTTGTTTGGCATTGTTATTTAATTTAATACCATTGATTATTTAAAAAATCTTATTTATGGTCCAAAAAATCTACGTGATCAAATTGTATGGGGCACAACCTCCGCAAATGCTTTAAGCTCCACAATCCCTATTCTCAACTACGCTCTCTTGAATTGCGAATAAAGGAAGCAACGAGCGTTGTTGGCTACGTTTCATAACAAGAAATGTTCGCTCCCGTGTAATGGAAACTATTAAATCCCATTATCATAATATCATTAAAATCTTGAAGTACCGCCGCGAGGTTATAAAATGGGATAAATATGTTAATAAATGAGATTAAGAAATATTAAATAAATAATGAATTTGTGCTGACAATTCTAGCATCTAAAATATGCAGTGTTTCCAAAAATGAATATTCTGTGATCTAACTGATTCAACTGAGACACGGCAAATTCAAAACAGATTTTGTTATTTTTAAGGAACTTTAACTAACAAATCCAAATAGTTGCCAACATTCCAGTAATTTCAGCAAAATGTTTCATCAAATCGCATTAGTTATCCAAAAAGGCGTTAATCCAATTTCCTCAAAAACGACTTTACAATTTTTCTCTACATTTTTTGCTTAGAAATTCACTTGTGTAGATTACGAGCTTTTTTCATTTAAACCATTGAACTTTCAAAAATAACACAAAAGTGAATAAAAAAGGGGGGTAAGAAGAGATGTTGCAAGCTGGAACAAAACATTCCTTTTCCACCGAAGATACTAAAAAGTTAAAAATAATAATTTAATTTAAAAAACGGCGGATTATGTTAATGTTTTCAATGTTGTAGATTGTAGAAAGTACTTTTAAGGCATACGAAAATATGAAGACATCCATTCATTTATGTAAAATAAAAATTTATGAACATAATCACAAGTCAGTGTGTTGTTTATACAATCGTTAAAAGTGTGATGTAGAAGAAAATACGTATATTTTGTGTGAAATAAAAAAATATGCCTAACAAAAATTTGTTAAGAATAAAATATATTTAAAAACACAATTATTGAATAATTGTAAATTCTCCTTTTCAAGGTATGGATAAAGAGCTGAAAAATCATCGTTGAATTCAAGACGTCTCTCAAGGTATAATATATATAATATTTGAGACAGAAAGGTGATTTTTTTCATGCGACAAACGATTAACTTCTTGTTTTTTTTAACACAGGATCGAAATTAAAACACTGAGTGTCGTTACTAGCGAAACGTTCTTTAATGAATACAGAAGACCAATCAACTGCATTGCAAAAGTGCTATCAAAAATGACAGTCACGATCTGCAGCACGGCTTTCATTAGTTTGGTTATTATAAAAGACGTATATTTTGTTGAAAATATTTTTGTAAGATTGTATCAAAATTTTGACAGTTAAATATCAGTAATAAAACTCTTTCTCTGTTTGGGGGTATCTTTTAACATGCATATTATGTTTCCTTCAAATTTGTAATAAGCTTACAATAATTATCTCATATGATGTTTTTGTAAATCTCTGTGCAATAAGTATAATGCAATTGTCCTTATATTGACTGAAGCAATATTCGTGTGGTTGCAATCAGCCCTCGAGTGTGGCCTAGCTATTAGTACCACCGGGGGTAATACGTTGGTTCCATGCTCTTTCCACCCAGTCAAATATAAAAATCTGTCAAAATCCTTCTGACAGCTGTAATTATAAATATCATTCATGTGGCTTCGTATCACAACGCGCCCCGACCCACACGATGCTGGATCGACGACGCAAAACTCAGTAGAGCAATAGCCGGGTCAGCGCTGGCGCGTCAACTCCAAATAAATGCAAACCGTGTGTCCTATGTCTGTTTTATCCAGAGGAAGCTGTTTCATCCAACTTCTATTCAGAGGAAGTAGGTGAAGTGCCACTCATCTACTTCACCTGAATATTTATATAAGAAATATATTTGAAATTTATTACGTACTAGTGGACCCGGCAATGCTTCGCTATACCAGTGCATCACACCACACACTGTTGGTCACGTGATTGTTAATCACGCTTCATACTACGCTGTGCCTACATTCTTATAGATGACGAACTTTCTCGCAAGTATAGGTTTGTTCTATGTTCTGGTTTGGATATATTTGTTAAGTATCCTATTGGTAAAACGTTCTTCCTTGTATTTGGTTCGAATTCGAATTTTCTTCGAATTTGAGTAGGACGTTCTTTCTCGAATGCGTTCGCTATGACACTTTCTTGGAGAAATTTGATTTATTTCACCGACATTCAAGTAATAATTCCGGTCGATATTTCACTATCGCAGGGGTAAAATACGTATATGCACTGGAGACGCGCTTAATCCTTGACCATGAGGCGTGTTGTGTAGAGTTCAGGGGCACATGAATCACCATAAACGAATACTAAATCATCAACTCCCACGCATGTCCGACTAAATTCAAACCGCTCCCATTATTAATAATAACAAAGTGTGAAAATTTCAGCGAAATCGGTCGAGTAGATTTTGCATTTGTGTGCCACACACTCTTATTCGGTATATTCCCTTATGTGTGTGTGTGTGTGTGTGTGTGTGTGTGTGTGTGTGTGTGTATATATATATATATATATATATATATATATATATATATATATATATATATATATATAACTTACAGCAAATAAGTGTGTTTTAATAGAAATATCAGTTCATTTTGAAATGGCAATCTGAACTGTTATGAGCAGTTAAAATTCGGGAAAGCACCGAATGAATGCGCCAATGGAAACGCCGGCCTTTGATGTGAAGTGTGCCGTTTTATAATGCGTGTCAACATGGAGGGGGTGTCTCGCCTGGGTGGTTGTTATACCAGTCGTGAAATCACTCGTTTCAATTCTCCGGCAAGATTCAAATCCAGATCTTCGGGATACGATGCGACAAGCGTTTCAACGTTAGATGATAACTCATCGTTAGACATGTTTAACAAGAAAGAAAACTTCTCTGACAGATTTTTATAAATCTGGTCTCTGCTTTTCATCTGAGCTTGCAGAATGTCAATGATCATATAAAAGGTTGAAACTCGACATCTGTCTCTTGCACTTAAGACTACGTCTTCCACTTGATCATCATTAACCTGTTTCATCCGAGTACGTCATCGAGTAGAGTTTTCTTTATAATCAACATCAGGCAGAACTAATTTCACGCGTTTCGAATTTGTCAAAAAACTACGCGGAGATCTTGCAAGTAATTTGTCAACGATTCATTGAGATGTGCGTGGTCCGGGCTGTCCGAGTGACGCCGCGTCAAAGGCTGTGTTGCCGACATTTCGGCCATCTTGTCGTGGTCTTCCTCAGGGCTGGTATGAGCACCCGGAGAGTCCAGATCACGCACATGACTCTGGCCGCGGAAGCCTACGACTTGATTCATTGAGATCACTGCATACTTTCGAATTAATTTTTGCACTTTGACGAGCTTGAGATTTGCGATGAAAGTGATGCCGAATATCATTCCACATTGTTAGCATAAAAACGAACTCGCATTATTGCATTTTTGCAGCGATATTTGTTGCCTCTCGCCTAGTATCGTCTTTTCTATCATTATCGTTGCAGAAAAATCTAAGGCGTTACGAAATTGAGAATATGAATCTAGTACTGCTTCCGTGGCAACAGCGCTCGCTTTTCAATGAGTATCCGAGTGTTTCTTTAAAACATTTTCATTGCCAACATGTACTTACACTACATCAGTGCGTTGAAGCAGAAAAAATTGTGTATAGTGTTATAACAACTAATGAAAAAAATGGATGGCTTCCAAACAACAATTTGCGCTACAAATAACAAAATTCAATGAATGTTCTGCACATGGGATATATATTGCATACGTTTTTTTTCTAAAATAACACATTGCATCCGCTTATAACTATTAGTATTTGTCGCCGTATCGTACGATTTTCCCCTGTACTTGTAAACATTAATGTTATTATCTTCACATACATAATTCAAAACATGAGTAGTAATTTGTTTTCCAACATGATTTTCTAGTTCCAAAAACGTTACAAATCGTTTTACATGCAATCCATCTGAGGACGATACATGTCGTATTATGACACACAGTTCATCAGCGAGGGATAGATCAGGTGTTGAATCGATTTCTTGATGACATTGCACACATATACTTTCTGGTGCATTTTATTTACGATACGCAAGACTGCAACGATTTTTCTCAAGCATTGCACTCAAAAGAGGTTAAACATTCGAAGGGTTGCGAATGTGTACCGTTATTTAGTAATCGTCTAGGTAGTAGTAGTGTAGGACTTGCTAAATAACTCCAAAACGTCTAACAATTACAATATGTTATTAATGTTATTTTGTACAGTTTTATCGTCAGCGTCCAATCTGTACACAAAATATAACATGTATTTACAGCGACCAAATATTTAAAGTCTGTCTTGTGTCTGTGAACACTACTAGCGCCTAAACAATGCGTAGGATTTTTTTTTCGAAATTGAAGAAATCCCGTCCATCTGGCGCGAGTCAAAACTTTGATATTTCGGAAATCTTTCTTCAAAATTTGGGGGTTCTTAACATGCATCCCAACTGTGCACTCGCGGGTTAAATAAGCAGTGGTTATCAGAAACTCACCATGAGTCACACTGCGCCCCGTCACGGCTCTGCGTCTCATTTTGCGACTAGCCTTCGACTTGGCGTTCGGGACGCTGTCGTAGCGGGTTCGCGCAGGGCGTTCGGAAACAGGCGTTAGCTTCCTCCCGTTGACCTCGCCCATGCGATCGGTTCACGGCGGCGACTCGGCGTAGCCTCCTACCCCCAAACTCGCAGTCCAGCTTTGCGATCGGAGGGTTTATTCCCGACCTCGACGACCAGCGTGCCTGGCAAGCTCGCTACTGGCCTGGCTGACCACGATGTTCCGGTCGCAGCTCCCAAGACGCGTGTGGGCACTTTGGCGTTTTCTAATATTTTTGTGACTATCAAGGAAAGCGGAACGCTAACTGTCAAAGAAAATTGAATAATTTTACTTCAAATGTTATTTTTAAGGAAGTGCAAATTGCTCGAAGGACGTATCTATTTAATACTGAATGAAACTTCATTGAATAATTTTTTCAAGAATCAATTGCATTGTTTTTTATTTTCTTCGATATTCTGTAAGTAGGAAGTTATATTTATACATTTTTAACACAAATAAACACGTTTCATTAATAACTTTTTTCTTAATGGAAGTGATAGGGAAATTAATAGGGAAAGGATGGGCATTAACATGCGAGTGTTCTCGCACGGGTACGCTAGTTTCCATTAATGTGAGATCTTACATGTACTTAGTTTTACTTAATTTACTACACTTAGTTAGACTTATTGATCTATTTCTCTAAATACCAACAACTTGCTCCTCCATACTCTTATTTCGGAAACTATTAGTTTACTGTGGAGGCGTTAGGTCAAGCAAGCTGCTTCAACTTGCTATTGCACGCCCTCGTTGCGTGTACATCATATACGTCTTGTGCAAGTCACAATTTTAACTTTGTATTTTACCATTTATTGTACCAATAGGTACGGCCACTCGACTGTATCTTTAGATTGCGCAATGACAACGTCGGTTCGCCTGCCTGCGCGTTTCCTCCACGGAACGCAGTAGCAACTCACACGAATCAGTAGACACCTCATCAAAAATCTTAATTCAATTAATCATATGCTTTACACATTTTCTTCTATTATAATTAGCCCAGCTCATAATATTTCCGAACTGTAATCATGGAAGCTGGCTTCTTATTTGTGGAAAGGATTCGGGCCGTGAAATATTTTTTTTCTCTCTCAAACCGCGACTAACGAATCAATTCAGTCGAACGTTCGCAGTCATTCCAACATGCAATCATGAATTTTTTTATCTCTATTAAGTATTGAAGAACATCTCTTATGGCGCGTGTGGGTGCGTCGCTTATTCTTAATTAATATGTAATGTTAACTATGCAGTAAAGAGCCTAGCGTCTACAAGTACCAGCAGGTATGTTGAGCAATTGCACATTCTTCAAACTGTTTTAACCTAGTTAACCATATATTTCTTACAGTAATAACATTGCAAGTGTAATTGTAGATGCTAAATTCAGTGAGCAACGCATTACAATCTTCTCGTCATGCAGTTACTTGCAAAGAACATCGTGCACACATTATGTCGCCACAATGAAACTGCTTGCTATTCACATTATAAACTAGTTATCTTCAGTGTAATAGCAAGTGCCGGTAACAATTCAGACAGTGCTGCATTTCTTGGTAGTAATAATAATGCAACTTTCGCAAACTATCCTTACTTACTAGCCCTTGGTCGCGACAACATGCTTCAGTGATACGTATTATTATGAAAATTATTAAGATGTCCAGTAAGCAGTAATATTTGGTGCCGGTATCAAGAAGTGTTTCCCATGTGTTATCTGTTCACGAACCCCACGCCTCACGCCATTGGGC